CTGTGTGTGTGTGTTTTGTCATCGGGAGGGGTGGGGGGGGGCCCGTAGTGTAGGGAAGGGGGGTCAGGGGGGAGGACGGACCTCAGAGATCGCATGCACGATGTCGTCTTGTGTCTGTGTGTATGTAAGTATGTATGTGAGTCTTTTGAGATTGTCGTTTGATGCCCAGCTGGGACATTTACGCGTGGTGCTGATTTGTGTATGGAGCCATGCGGTCCCCCAGCGGGGGGTACTGGGCGGTGGGGGTGATTGACGGGGGGGGAGTGGAGGTACCGAGGGCCCTGGAGGGGGGGCGGTAGGCGTGTGGTGTAGCTTGGGAGGTGGGGGCCCACGGGGGGGAAGCTGGTGGGGGGACGCGGGAGTGGGGAGGAGGGGCACTAAGTGGCTCCTTGAGTACCAGTGAGGTGATGGTGATGGTGATGATGATGGTGATGATGATGTGGGTTTGGGCACCTGGGGGAACAGGTTTCCTTTTAGACCGACTTGTTCCTCTTCGTCCCCTCTTCTCTTTTTCCTCTTGTGTGATTTGATCTTGATCTTGTGATGATGCAGACAAGAAGAAGCGGCAGCAGCAGCCGGGAGAGGAGGAGGGCGGTCCTGCGTGCAGTCCCGAGCAAGTGGAGCTGGAGGCGGGGGGCAAGGCCACCGCCACCACCACCACCACCACGGGCGGGTGAGTGCAGACTGACATACGGACGTCCTCTCCGGCCCCCGCCGCCCCAACCCTCCGCGGCGCCCCAACCCTCCGCGTTCCCTCACCGCGACCAAACCCACCTGCTCCGGAACCACGGGGGGTCGTTGATGACATCACATCACAGCACTTGGGACTCACTGGGGGCAGTTTCTGACCCCTCGTGGACACGTCGTGGCAGCAGCAGCAGCAGCAGTTCACTTTCCTCACTCCTAACCGCACTTGATTTGTTCCCGCCCCCCCTCCGCAGTATTTGTATCCTACCCTCCTGACTCTACTATCCGTCTGTTTCCGGAATATCTGCTTCACTCGCCAGTGGTTCGTCCGTCTCAAACCCCCCTCACACTCCATCCCTACCTGCCCTATGTATGTATGTATGTATGTATGTATGTATGTTGACACCTCTCTATGTCAACACCACTGCACTCGCACTGTCAGGGATGAGGCGGCGGCGGTGGGCGCTGACGGGCGGGGTCCCCGCCCCGTGTTCCCCTCGGAGGCGCTGTCCCTGTGCGGCTGCCGGCCGCTGAGGTGGGCCTACTCGCACTGCTACGCCTCGCTACACTCGCTGCACGTGAGCGTTATGGCCAGCTTCCCCAGCTGGCCGTTTAGGCCCGACACGCCGTACTTCAGGTAAGTGTGCGTTTGTGTGTGTGAGGGGGGGGGAGGGGGGAGGGGGCCAGGCTGTGTATGTTGAAGGTGTGTGTGGAAACGGTGGCGGAAGGGGAGGAGGGGGAGGGGGAGAGAGAGCAAAGACGGTTTTATTACTACCGGAGTATCGGTGAGCTGCAACCAGAATAAAGCAACCTCCATCAGCCTTTGGTGACACTTCTCTGTATGTATGTATGTATGTATGTATGTATGTATGCATGTGTGTCTCACCTGCGCTTTGATTCTTCCTCTTTCTTCCCCCGCACGGGTCAGTCTCTTATTACATATTGTCCGACATTACAGCGGTCTAACCTTGGAGAATATCCGCATCTATGGTATTTCCTTCCTCTTGTCAATCGTCTGGGCTTCGTCGTACCCCCGTACTAGGACACATACATACACAAAACACACCGCCGTATACCTCGTGAGCCCCAACCCCTCCTTCCCCTCCTCCCCTTTTCCCCCCCCCGGGAATGTACGACACCGTCCCTCATCTTTGCCCAACCCGCTTTCAGCCAAAGTTCGCTCAAACCCCATTTATCGGGTGCCGCCCCCGCATACCCCCACGCCCCACACCTCAGGATGCTGACGCTGATTCAGCTGTTGGGCATCTTTGGCGTCGGCGCCATTGTCGTACTCGGCTGGGTCTACTCCACTTCCAACTCGAATTGCGTCAAGGCCACCAAAACTTGCAACACCTGCCTCGCCGTACATGAGCGTTACTTTGCGTCTAATGAGCCGCTGTGCGCGTCTTTCGAAGCGGCCATTGCGAAGATCGTCGCCTCGACGAACGGCACCTGGCGGGATAATGGCGTACTGCGGGAGCGGTACTGCGAGTGGGCGTGTTACGGCAATTTTACGACGTCACAGAGCTGCCCGCCGCTGTTGTAATGTCGTACGATGTTCGTTGGGCGGTTGGTTGGTTGGGTGAAAGCGCGAGTATTCGGTGAAAATGTGAATGGGTTGTTATTCACCAGTGGGGGGTACCACGGGGGCCTCCGGGGAGGGGGCCGTGTGCGGCGCTGTGAGGGCAGGTGCGGGAAGGTAGAGGTGGGTTCTAGGGGTTTAGGGGGAAGGGAGGAAGGGGAAAGAAAACACATGGGTGGTGTGGTGTCATATGAAGTGGCGAGTTGAGGCAGCTCGGTCGGGTAGTTGGAAAGAAACTGGACGAGGTGCCCCCTGGGGTAGGGTGGGGTAGGGTAGGGTAGGGTAGCAGCTACAGAACCTACATACGAAGGAAATCAGCTCCTGCTGCTGCTGCTGCTTGGTGGAGGTGGAGGTAGTGGTGTCGGTAGGCGAACAAGAGCATGTCTTTTGATATATACATGTACGTATGCAAGTATGTATGCAAAACGGTTTTTATTGTACGACGCTATCCCTCTGCGTGCTCCGCGTGCGTTTTTCCTTATCTATTAACGAACACTAACTAACTTTTTGGATTTGGCCAACTGTCAGTCTCCCGCTATGGTGCACAATCGCCGCAATGGAGCCTCTCGACGAATGTACGGCGAGCGAGCCGTGAGTGTAGAGGATATATATGAATATGTATAAAAAGAGATGGGATGATGATCTCCAACATAATGACGGATGGCCCTTTAGGACTACAAACCGGGTCTCGCATCTATTGCCATTGACATCTTGACCTTTTGCCGTATATGCCGTGGATCTAGATGTAGATGCCTGGTCGTGCGTGAGGCGTTTATGTTCAGATCTTTCGTTTGTGACCGCTCCTTTTTTCTGTTCTTGGCCAGCAGCGAGTGGAATACACTGTGGAGGGCGCTGTGGTGACTAACAGATTGACAAACAGACAGACGGAAAAGTATTTCCAGTCGGTTGGTCGTTCACAGGATATGACTTTTAACTTGAGTAGAATTAGTTGGTGAGAAGTTGACGTGCACAAGTTTCGGCAAGAAATTCCGGGTTTGGCTTAAATTAAGGTCAACATCTTTGTAAAATGTCGATCTTGCTTACGGTCTTTTTCCGGTAAAATTCATAATGTAGGCAGATCACCAAGGAAAAAACAAACAAATAAAAAGACGGCTAGGGCAGCCCAGGCAGGGGAGGGCTCCTGATACACCTAACACGCCAACAAAAAACCTCCAAGAGAGAAAGGCTAAGAGAGCTCGACACCACAAGACGTCATGCAGCCACCTTACAACAACTGACCTCCTCTACCTCTCCCTTCCTGGGCTGGTCCAGGGGAGAAGTAGCCATATAAAGAAAAAGGGACCACGCACAAGCCCGATCACCACTGCAGGAGCCCGGGATAGTCCGGCGAAACCACAAAAGCGATAGTATGTATGTATGTATGCTACTCGGGGGGCCGTGACGTAAGGAATGACTGTAGGAGGGACGCAGTGAGGGATGATACGACTGATGGGCAACATGGTGGCCATGTTGTGCTGTGCTGTGTTGCGCCATCGTGGGAGAATTCCCGTGTGTGCCCGCAATGTGCGATTTCGGGTGAATTAGGCTTACGAGTGGAGGACGCCTCATGCAAGTGGAGGACGATTTCGGGAGGCACTGGTAACACGGGCAGGGGCCGCAATCGGGACAGCGTGACAGCGTGAACACGCGGCCTTCTTGTGCTCTTCTGGGATGAGGGCGTTAGTTACAGCGGAATTGTCAGTACACAATCGCCAAGAGGAGGGCAGGAAAGGGGACAAAATGGGAAATGAGACTATTTAGGAAGAGGGGTGTGGGATATGTGTGTGTGTGTGTGGGTGGGATATGTGTGTGTGTGTGTGTGGGATATGTGTGTGTGTGTGTGTGTGTGTGTGTGTGTGTGTAACGTCCATCGGTGTGTCCTGCCCCGCTGGCCATGTATAGTTGCAGATCCACGGCAGTCGCAATAGCAATAGTTCCAAACAGCCAGCCAACCAATCAGCCGCGTCCACTTCCCGGAGTGTAGCAGCTCCTTCCAACCAGTCCCAACCCTTACACCGCCCAACACAGACCAACACACGTAGGAGATCATGGTCCCATTGTTGCGGACATGATCAGCGATGTTTTTAGGGGCGGCCGCAAGGAAGTCAATCTTGGAAGGCATCACCACAACGGCTGGGCAACTATTGACCCCGCCGCGGTTGCAAGATGTCACGTGACGAGTAAAACGCCAGGTAAGAAAGATGTTTTCTTTGGTGCATAAGCTCCTCCGCCTTAACTTCTTTGTCGTTGGCACCGGCTTGGCATCGGCACTGTGGAAACGCGGAAACCCTTGAAGTTGCGAGGCTTCGTGGCTTGGCGGTGAATATCTGCTAGTGATTACCAATCAATGTGAAACCTGAAAATCACATTTAAGATGGCACATTTTGGGAATTGAGCTCAAGACTGTCTAGGCATGTGACAGCATGTCAGCAGGTACAAAAAGGAGTACGGTACAGCCGCCACATGGGATCCACGCTTGCCAAGAACTGTGAATCAAGGTTGATAATTTTCCTCGTTCATTCAGGTTAATTTTGCATCCTTCGAATTTCAGATCTTTCCACTTAAGACGGGCACAGCAAAACAACTTTGATGCATGAAGAAATTGACGTCAACTGACCTCGTTCCATAGAAGTAAACATGTTGTCCAGCTATGCCAGTACGCTTATAGCAGGCAGTCGCGCGCTGTGCCAAGGAGCTCTAGCACTGTCGACGCAAGCAGCTACGCGACGTTTCGCTAGCTCGCTACCTGCGGTCGAGGAGTCATTTCTTTCCAGCAGTCAGCAGAAGGTCAGTTTACAGTCTCGATGATGGCGGCTGAATGTTTGGCATAGTGTGGGAGTCATTATAGTTCGCCTTTCGGTTCGAGGTGTGACTGGCGCCCAAGTCGCTTGAATTTTTACACCATGTGCCTATGTTGAATTCTGGCATACCCAAATCAGTTTATCGAGCGTGAGGACAAATATGGTGCGCACAATTACGCGCCTATTCCGGTTGTGCTGGAACGCGGCGAGGGAGTCTTCCTTTGGGACATCGATGGCAAACGCTATTACGATTTCCTTTCGGCGTACTCGGCTGTAAACCAGGGACACTGTCATCCCAAGGTGCGGGGCCTCGAAGCCTGAATGAGCAATTTCCTCTTGCGACTGTTCAACAATTGCTATGTTACGCTAGATTGCTGCTTCCTGTCCGTCCTTAGTCAGCTGTGTCCATCTTCTCCACCTGACTTCCTAAACTGACCCGCCGTCGATGATCTCTTTACTCCATCGTGACGACTCAACCCTCTGACCCGAAATCTGGTCCATTTTCTGGCCCAAAACCTCATTCGAACTATTTATCCAAAATTGCTTTTCAGCATTATTTTCTGGCCGTTGGTGTCCCTCCCCTTTGTTAACAACCGCCATGGATTCCTCCTCACTCCCCCTCCTCACACTCCCTCCTCGCTCTCCCTCCAAACCCCAACCTCACTTACGTTGCATTCTTTCCGATTATTATAACACCTCCCCTCACCCCCTCACCTCCCCCCTGGAGCCCTCCAGATCGTATCCGCCTTGGCGGAGCAAGCTCGTAAGCTCACCCTCACCTCCCGAGCCTTCTTCAACGGTAAGCAGCGCAGCAGCGGGAGGGGCGCAGGAGGAGGGAAGAGGACGGGGGGTATTGTGGATACACACATCGATTAGCTGGTTGGTTGGTTGGTTGGTTGACCCCCCGGTGGGGTGGGTGGGGTGAGGAGAAGAGTTATCGGACAAGTAAGGGGCATACAGACAGATGGACAGATAAACAGACTGACATGCAGACAAATGGACTGCGGACCGCTGACTGGAAAAAGGCCGTGCATGGCGAGAAGACGGCAGCGCCCGGCAATGGTTAGACAAATGGTTGAATGAAAAGGTGTATGTATGGATGGATGTGTTTTTTTCACCTTACTGACACCTCCTTTTGCTCTTAAAACGGCAAAACGGCCGTCAAAGGGAAGTCCGGGGGGATGTACGGAGTGGGGCAGTGGAAGGGAAAGTCGTTGAGGGCAGTTGGTGGCGTGTGTGTGTGTGCGTGTTTTGGGGGGGAAGAGGGGAAAAGAGGAAGGGGATGAGGGAGAAAATGACCACGTACGTCGGTATGTATGTGTCTTATTCATGCTCCTCTTGCATGAATGTATGTATGTGTGTACTGTTTTTTTACATTTTTTAGTATCTGTATTATGTTGGGTTGTTGTTCTCGTTGCAGATGTCCTTGGAGAGTACGAGGAGTACATCACCCGGCTGTTCGGGTACGACAAAGTGTTGCCCATGAACACTGGCGTGGAGGGCGGAGAGACGGCGGTCAAACTGGCCAGGTGTGTGTTGTACTGCCGTACATTGACCGTATACTGTCTTTCGTACATACATATTAAATACACGGACGTGGACCTGTTGTTTCACTTTTAGACACGTATTGCCTTTTGGTGTGTACATCTGTACGTGTGTATGTATGTGTAGAAATTGTCCCACCTGCTGTCGCCGCCTCCCCGCTGTCTTGCTCTCAGGTGTTTATTCTGCCGTATACTGCCGTACGCTGTCTCGATGTGCTTTATTAGCAAATGGTTAAACCCCCTCTCTCGTCAGCAGTTGCCGATTTGGGTTTTGCACCGCCGGGGCTTTCCACCGCCTCCCCCCAATTAAAGAACATCACCCTTGCACATCCCCCCCCGCCCCGCTGATTTATTCCCCTACTGACCCTCGCCCCATTACACACATACATACATACATACATACATACACGCAGGCGGTGGGGGTACGATGTGAAGGGAGTTCCCGCCAACAGCGCCAAGGTGCTCTTCGCCCGGGGCAACTTCTGGGGCCGTACAATGTCGGCC